TGCAATGTCGATCAGTAAGGGCTTTCATGCACATGGTCTGCATGTATTAAATGTACCAGTTGAGAATATACTTAATCTTATAATGTCCAAACACAAGGAGGAGTAAATTGGAGTTTAGAGATATATATTGTACAGTAAAGATCCCTAATATGAGGTCAACATGGTGAAGTAAGGACCTAAGCCCTGACCTACGAGGTGAACTGACCTAACCGAGGTTGTGTAGCGGCCGAGGTCAGGTCACCAAGTGGACCAGGTCAAGGGTCCTAAAATATTTCACCATGTTAATCTCATAAGGGGTAATTAATTGTTTTGTTATATCAATATAAGATAAAACAATTTTTAAAGGCCTAATTTCTAAAACTGTATATATATTTTGACACAGTTTCCTGATATTGAACTTCAATTATAGGGGTGGGACTTGCAACTCAAAACAATAAAGCACAACTCAGATGTAAAATAAAGATCATTGAAATTATATAATAGTTTCCTGACAACCAATGTTAAACAATCCCACTAAGGAATACATTATTATATATGATATAGAATGTCTGAGAGTTTTTTAGTACCAAAGCTCCCTTATCGGGATCGGATTTGCTATTGAAGTTGTTTACGTTTTTGCCAGCAAAGTAAGTCTTGTAATTTTAATTTGTACTTCTGATTTATTAAAAACACTTTGACAGTTGTGATTGTCAGAACATATTGCATTTTTATAAATTTTACAAAATTTACCATTCCCAGGTACTGTGAAAATCTGACGCAGATTTTTACTGTGAAGTGCTGTGTCTGCATTCCTTGAATTTCACAATGTGACAAAATTTTAACTGAATAAATGATAAATTTTATGATGAATCTAGGGATCTAGGCCTGTCGTATTCTGCATCATAAACAGACATTACGGATATTTTATAATGGCATGTTTATGTTAAACGTACAATTATTACTTTATGCATAAAGTTAATTTGAAGGAAATTTTAATTAACTGGTCAATATGTAGCGGTCATTATTTATAATGACCTGGTCATTATATCACACATGTAATATCTCATTGTTCATAATTGTTGTAAACACTACTTTCTGGAGTCATTATTGAGTTTTTAAGTCTTCTAACAATCCAATCAAATTTGAGTATTCACAATAGAGGTATAATAAAAAGTTTTATGTAATGCTGCATTTAATGATATTTATTTGTACCCTTACAGTACTGATCAACAGAAATGCAGGAAAGGTGTTGGCTTTGACTGTAAATTAGACTGTTTCAGATCTTTATTAATGATTGAAGAACTGTTTAATTATCCCTTTACTTAATATAGTCTCAACTGTACATTTCATTTTCTCTTTAAAGCCTTATAATGTCACCATTGTTTAGTTTATGCAGGTTTGCAGGACTTTTATATTCTGTCTAATGTACTAGCTGGGGTTCTTTTACCTGTCATTAAGAAGTAGAAGTCAAGATGCAATATTATGAATACTGTAGATTCCTAAATGGACACTGTAATGTATGCAGGGAATTTAATATGGCATAATTTCCTTAGAATACTAGGGGTTTAAAAAAACATTTTTGAAATAGATGAAGTGACTTTTACAAATATAGGAGGTATACCTTGTGGAAAGGATTTTAATTAAACATTTTATTGAATTTTTCCCCATCAGATATTTTGGTGGGTATACAGTCATGATATCCCACTCACATATTCATCTGTTCAGTGACATATTATTGCAGTTTGACATATTCTACAAGTCATTTTGTGATATTATAAGCACTTGCATAAAAAAAAGGAATCTACAGTATCATGTTAAAAGTTGTCTTTGCATGACCTTGACCTGTGGAAAATAATTAAAAGTTTCTCAAATTAGGACACCTTTGCAATCTGGCCATATTTGTAGATATATATAGTTTTGCATTAAATCCAGGCCTAAAGACCAAAAAATTTAAGTCGAGTAATTCATTCTGTGCTGGAATCCATGCCAGCTGTTTTTCAGGTGATTTTCACAATCAAGTATCTTATGATATCATATAGACCAATTAATCAAAGAGCCATATCTAACAGCAAGTGAGAAAATAATTATACTCCCCAGCCAGCGAGAGAATGAACAGGTTCCTGTAAGTTAATGCTTCTGCTGCATTAAGTGGAATGTCAAATGATCAGTTTGAAGACAATCGCCAATCCATCACATTAGGTTTGACACTGTCTGAGGCCGATTCCCCTTGGGCAATATTCCATTACCAGCGCTGATACATTTATCAACCTCCCTTGGACCTGATGCATTTTAATTTCATTATCCATTTAATTCTTAACTACATTGTATATATCTAATTGGGCTGAGAATACCACCCTTATTTACAGTTGAGCATTATTTCATAAAATTTGCAGGCCTTTTGATAGCTGTTTCAAATTTGTGAAGTCTTTGAGGTAGCTAGTATACAGTTTTGGCCTTTTAGGATATGATTTTTTGTAGCTTTATAGTTTGAGGTCATGAACTAGAGTCTCTGGTTTTTGTCTCCTGCCAATTGTTGTGAAAAGCTCTGCAACTGTTGATATCAGAAATTTTTTAACAAGATGTTACGAGATGTCGATAAACTGAATTATTAATCTTCAGCATTGTTCCGTGAGATTGTACAATAAGAAAATGCAGCTAGCGACTCACGGAATCCACACTTGATTAAATGAGCTAAGTAGATCAATTGATTTGGAGAGATGTTATTTTTTGCAATAAAATTTAGCTTGATATCATATCAGGTGATTCTAATTTAGAAATGTCAGCAGCCCCCAGGAAGTGTTTGCAAGAAACAATTACAGGCTGCTCCAGGAATCGGTCAATATTTCATCATTGGAGCAGAAACCCTACCTAATACATTTACTGGGATGTTATTTTGCTGTCATAATTTAAAGTTGAAAGAGTGGGAAGAATTAGCTTTCATCTTCTGGGAAATTTCAACTAAGCATTCTTTCAGTGTATTACTATATGTATCAGAGTGTTCTGGATGATCCTGAATTATTTTGCCTTGTAACAGAATGGGGGCCCTGACTCAAAAATGTAAAATGACATGATTATAGGGTCAAGAAAATAATTTTGTTAACTTGAAATTGGTAAAGACCTGCTGAAAAATGCAACAAGATGGATTTTCTTTGATAATTTGAATGGTTTTAAAAATGCAGGAAATTGAAATTCAAAATATTTACATGTCTTATGGTGATATTTGTCACATGTGAATATTGCAGTGTACCGAATTTCCTCCCAATTTCCTTGTGGGAACTTCAGATTGAATGGAATAAAGGATTGTTAGAATGCTTGAAGGAAGAGCATTTCGGTCTTTAGAGAAAGCCTTAATAATTTGGTGAAGTCGGAGAACATTGAACTATTGTATAATCAAAAATAGAAAAATGCAAAAGTGATTGTCTTGCTTTTTGCATTTGCCTGGATGTGATAGAAAGTTGGAAATAAATTGTTGTCTATTTCTGGAATGATAAAAGAAATAAGTCTGCAGAGTCTAATCCTTAACCATTGAAGGAGGAAGGTGTTATTGGATACTCTATAATGAGAAAACGGATTGTTCTGTTATTTGTTCATGGAATCAGGAAGGACATTTCATGGAATTCATGAATATTTTGGTTGAAGCATGCATTGACATTGTAAGACTTTAAACATATGGATGTAGAAGTCAAAATAATACATTGGGATTATGGGGCTTCTGGTCGAATGATAGTTACTGTGCTGTCATTAAGAATAATGAATTTGGTAAGTTGAATGATTGTTTGATTGAATAGTTGCTCATGTACATACTGTGTAAATTATGTAGATTTGTAAAAAAAAATTCTAATTCATCATGTAATGTACATGTAAATTTGGTATGAATTATGTATTTGATTCAGGGTTGCAAATAACCATTTGCCCACTTGCAAAAGCAAGTAATTTTGCCTGTGGGTGACCAATTCTTGAGGTTGTTACTGCCCACATGGTGAGTAAAATGTAAATTATCAAAGTTTTACCGATTCTGCCCATGTTTTGTTTCTACTACTAAATGCACTTTCATTTTTACTAATTCCTACCTACAAAATATTTTCTAAATTAGCCTGACAACATTATGATTATTTGAGGTCTCATGAAACGTGAGATATCAAACAAGTGAACTAGGTGTCAAAATTTGCAGAAAAAATGAAAGACAGTGGAACGCAAATTATTATACTTCTTGGAGGTAATGATAAGAAAAGAAAAATGAACATGATAAACTACATGATTGTAATACTTACTGGGCGGAAAAATCGTTGGCATGAAAATATCAATGTGAGCTTGTAAAACTTGTGAGGTAGGAGCCCACGTGGCCCTTGAGGTTTTAATATTATTTGCAACCCTGTGATTGTCTTTAATAGTAATACATGTACATGTGTAGATGCATGTTCAGGCAGATTTTCAAGATAGTACTGCTCATTTTCATGTAAAAAATCTGTGTTAAAAGGAATAGTCATTATTTACATGGATGTTAATATTATATTGTTAACAGAAAGTTTGTGAAATATGTGTTAAGGTACATACATACCTGTAACATGTTCTGTTTTGCTGTGATATATACTGATCATTAAGTCGGCCTCTGAAATTGTTAATGTTATGACTGCTACTGGTCCATCATGCAGGTTTTATGGGCCAAGGTCAGACTACTGAGTCTTGAGAATTCACCAAATTTCATAGACTTCTAATTTACTCCATAAAAAACTGTGTGCATGATGACTCTAGAGAATAATGAGCATTTTTCAATATTGTGACAAGACCGTTTTTATGATGCTTCATTTTAACATACCGGTTGCCTGTGTGAACAGAGTATTTGTAATGGTTGCATGTACTCAAGCAAGCCAAAGGTTCACTGCCATATACTTTTGAGGTTGTGCCATGTATATCTAAGGTATTAAAGGAACATAGGGAGGTAAACCAAAGTTGTTACATAAAACTAAGGTAAACCACGCCTCTCCTTCATCACCTGTACATATATTTTATTTGCCTTGTAGATATTGGCCATCTTTGCTTTTGCCACCACCACCAGTGTAAACACAAATCTACAGATTACAGCTTCAAATTGTCCAGGAGGAAAACCAGGAATTATTGAATCAGTTCAAATCAGCTATCCTTTTGAGTAAGTATCATAGAACCATATATAATCAATAATGGCATGACATATGACATGTTTGTGGCATGATACATTTTCTCCCATATTCGTAAAAGGACGGGGAATTCTTCTATCAGTCAGTCACAACAAAACTTGAACTTGGTCATAACTTTGGAATGAAAAAGATAGAGCTTTCACATCTGCATTGCCTGTAACAACCTTTCCTTGTATAGTTTTTGTCCCCATGACCTTTACCTTGAAGTTTGTCCTCCTTTACAATAATTTTAACATTGTTCTATGGTAATAACTTTTGATTGAAAAAAAGATGGGGTTTTCCTATTTCACAGTTACATTACCTCTGAAAAAGCCTTCTGACTAAGGCCTTGAACTTTATGTCTACTTTTTATTTTAAGCTCACCTAAGCTTAAAGCTCAAGTGAGCTTTTCTGATTACCAGTTGTCTGGCCACAATAGGGGATCAAATTTTACAGTGAAATATATAGAAAAAATCTTTAAAAATCTTCTTCTAAAGAACCATTGGACCAAAAAAAGAAAAAGCTTCAAGAAAAAAGAAAGCTTTTAGACATATTAAAGATTCTAAATTGTTCAAAACCTGCTTCCCATGAGTAAAGGTTGGGCCATGAAAGGGATCAAATTTCTACATTGAATTATATTGGGAAAAAGTCTTTAGAAGTCTTCTTCTAAACAATCAAGAAAATTAAAAATGTGTGTGAAAGTTTCCTGAGAAAGTGTAGATTCAAAGTTCAAATCATAGCTCCTGCAGTGCAGTGCTAAAATATCTCAGGTGAGCATTGTGGCCCATAGGCCTCCTGTTAGCTCACCTGAGCCAAGACTCAAGTGAGCTTTTCTAGTCAAAATTTGTGTGTTGATGTCATTGTTTTTGTTGTTATCATCATGGTCTTCTCACATTTTCATCTTCTTGAAGCCAGTTACAACCAGACTGGCATGTACATGGGTAGAGGAAAATCATTGACAAGTTTGTTCAAATAAAAGATCATTCTATCTTCCAAGGGGAGATAGTAAAGAAATAGAGAAAATTGGGTGGGATCATTTAAAATCTTCTCAAAAACTACATGCCAGAAAAGACGAAAGCTTTCTGACATAGACCAAATTCAAGTTTGTTCAAATCATGACCCCAGGGAGTAGGGTAAGTCTTTAAAATTCTTCTTCTCAAGAACAGAAAAAATGACCATATTAATTAATTGAACATGTATTGATGTGAAAAATTGATATTTTTGAGGCCAATAAGATACACTTTTTATCTTTTTTCAGACTTGAGAAAGAATATTTCACCACACCCTTCTGCAACAGAAGCAGTAGCGGAGTTAATGTATCGACTGTGTATTTGCTGCAGGGATCTAGATCTTCCGCTGAGTTTTACGTCTTTTTCGGAGTAATGGTGTTTCTATACTGTATGGCTGCCCTTGTTGTGTACTTGTTTTTTGAGGAATTGTACCGCAGGAGCAATGTCTGGGCTATTGTGGTATGTTTAAGTGATTGCAAGAATTTCCATTGCTGTACATGCATTACTTTGTGCATTGTCTAATGGAAGGTGTTAAATTTAGTAAGCATAATAGCCTAAAGACCCCGATTTCAAATCTTCTTGATTAACGAGGTTCGCTCCTGAGCTTTTGAGCAGATTCTTATCTTAACCTATATTTCAAAAATTCTGCATAATGTTTTATTTCTTACAATAAATTTAGATTCTACAATGCCAATTTAACTATATTCAGTTAAAACTCCATGATTAAATTCCATACCAAAAGCATTAAGTGAGGAACTATATTTTGTGGCGGAAGGTTTTTATAAGAAGAAAATGATCATTTTTTTCTCTTTCGAAGTATTTAAAGTATGTTAAGTTTGGATTCCTATTTTTACATGCAGTCTGCACACATAGTTATTTTGTGCAGTGGACTGTTTTATACTGGTCCTAAATTATCTATTAAATAAACTGTCATGAATTCTATCGTCATATTTGATAAATATAGCAAGTATATTGTGGAAATGAAGAAAAAAAGTAGCCCTAATTTAAGCTTAAAATTAGCACTATTTTAGTAATATCTAAAAATTAACATCACAGACCCCCACTTTTAACTTTCTTTTCTGAATATGTACGATACTTTTAACCATTCTTCTTAACGTCAGTAAAATGTCATTACTTTCAAATGATTTTTTTGCTTGTTAAATTTTAATGCCAGAAAAATGAAAATGTGTGAGTGCAGAAAGGTCAAATAATTGAACATGTGGAGTAATTCGAAAATTTCCTCGTTGTTACAAATTTTAATGTGTTCATTCAGGTTGAAATAAGACTGTGTTTGTTCACCATAATTTATTTGAACAAAACATATTGAAGGAAAAACTTTAAAAATTGATTTATGTGTAAGACGTATTTACAGTGCAAAAAGGTCAAACTAAATGCTCTGTAGCGCCAAAAGAAGCGCATTGACCCCCATTTTTTGTTTTGATTTTTAATAAAGCTATGTGTATATATTCTAAAAATATACTTGATAAAAAATTCTCATTACTTTTGATGGCGGGATCCAACCTCCTTAAAGTATTCTTTTCTTATCAATTCAGATATATGCACTATTATAATGAGAACCCAATCCAAATAGTTAAAGTCTTGATGCCAAAATGTGAAATAAAATATTCTAGAACCCAGGTGTGATAATTAATCATTACATGGCCTGAGTCAGTTTTTGCCATGCTAACTGCTCAGCCTAATCAAGGATCACTGTAGTCTGGCTGAATTTTTGTACTCTATGTGTTCAACTGAAATACTTTACTGTCATTTCTGACAAAATATATCATATTTCTGAAATGTAATATTAAACTCAACTTTTAAAAATTGGAAATCTGGGACTTGCTTGAGGTTGTAGTAGATATACATTCACTTTCTGCAAGATATTAGAACAAACTTTGCTGATGATCGATGAACAGTGGTAAACCCAAGATTTCATGATGATGTGAATTTTTAAATGAGAATTCTAGTGCTTTTTGTGAAGGAGTGACTTCTCCTTGATAGACTCTTTATTCATAAAAATGCACCTCAAACTCTTTCATGTAGTTTTTCTTGAAAAACTCTCCTGTCCTATACAATGTATATGCTGTTTTTTTTTTTTTTTTTTTTTTTTTTTTTTAAAAAAAACTTTGAGTGAAAGATTTTATTATATGTATTCATGTGTTCATAATTCAAAGATAATGACATTTTTTTTTTTTAAATTATATTTGCAAAATATCTTATAAGCTCTGAAAATTTTAGGATCCTCCTCTTTCTTGTTTATTTTCAGTATAAATGTGTGTCTGTACTGTATGTTTGTTTCCTTGACGTTTCAGGATTTTGTGGTGTCCGTGGTGATTACTCTTCTGTGGTTGATCGCGTCGTCGGCCTGGGCTCAGGGTCTGGTGAATCTCAAGTACTACACAGATTTCAATGATTCTGGAATGTTTGAGCGCCTACCAGAATGTAATAAACCTGTTACTGGTATTACTTGCTCGCAGACTGCGTTTCCTAATTTTGGGAGTCTAAATGCCTCAGTAGTATGTATTGCAACTTTTTATTTGCAATGACTTCCCTTTTCTGTTTCATTTTATATTTTATTTGCACATTTAAAAAAAAAATTCGCTCCTTTATAAACAATAAATACACATGTAGTATACATACAAAAGAAAAAAAATGACTGCCTTATTTGACATGTTTTACATGTTGATGATGGACAGTCTGTCAGAACGTACAGAAGAGTGATTTTTCATTAAACATAGCAACTAAATAAAGTTTAGATTGGTATCCTAGCTCTAAAGCACTCAATTTTGTTATTATTGAGGAATGCCACTTTTTTTTATAGATATTTGGATTCCTCAACATGGTTGTTTGGGCTGGAAATCTCTGGTTCCTGTACAAAGAAACACCATGGTTTGGTAACAAGTCAGAGATTCCTCCTCAAAGTGGGTCCCCCCAGCAGCAAGACCCTCAAAGAATCTAGGTCAACAAAACCCTGAACCAATAGAATCAAATTATGTGCTGAAACTGTTTATGTGATGTATTTGTCTAAGTGCAAATGTATGTATGGATTTAAAGATTTTTTTTTTAAATTACAAAATAATATACATTGATAAAGTGGCAGATCCAGGATTTTTTTCTGAAAGGAAGGTATTCACTTCAAGTCAAATAATATTTTTGAACAAAAATATGTCAATTCAAAAATTCTGAAAATCCAGGGGAGGGGAGTGGGTCTGCAAACCCCCATGCTGGCTCTGCCTATCGTTCAGAAGTTTTTAGCCTTCAAAAAATAGCTAAGTGTTTTAGATTTAATAAACTATTTTCCAGCACCTTTTTTTGTATTTAAGAGGGGAGTAAGTAATATTTATTGAATATGTAGATTCTTCCATTCTTTATATACATTATTTGCTTGGGATTTTATAAATGTGTACTTGGTGCAAAATTTTAGAGATCACATATTTTCATAATAAATGATCAAAGTTTACTTGCTGAATACTTGAACCAGGCAGAATTATATCTTGTTAGCAATGTATTACAAAGTCAGCAATGTCAGTGACAATTTATGAAATAAAAACTCTCTCACAGATGGAATGTGTAAATGATGGGTGGAACTTCAGGTCAGTTGATCTCTAAGAATAGCAAATTATCATGACAATTTTGTATAGGTGCAAAATGATTTTAAGAAATGGAAACCACAATTATGTGTAATATGATTGCAGTGTTAAGGAATGGTAGAGAATTGTGTTTTATTCATACAATTAACTATTTGGTTTTTAGAGTTTTGAAATCCTTCATAGTGAAATCCAGTGTATAATTAGTGAAAGTTTGATGATAGAATTTAACCTTGTAACAGGAAACTGAATTTGTCATGCTTCATTTCTGTTGTATATCCAAGAAGAAAATGAGCTATATTCCCTCTTGTTTATGAGACTGAAATAATAAAGTGCCATGGAGAATCACCAAGTCTTTAACATTCATTCTCAGGTATTAAATACATCCTCTAAAATGAAACAACATAAATCTCTATTTTTCCTCTATTTTTTTTTTTTTTTTAAACCATTTTGATTGTTCTAAACAAGTGTTTCACTGACAGCACCATTAAAATTGGTAAAGCTTGAGATCTGTTAACCGATCTGGATATTTGTGTGCTGTTGGTATTTATGTGTCTATCCACATTTTGTCCATATTTACCTGTTGCTCCACATTTTGTGTATGTGGAACAAATGTTGACGTGTCATCATTTATTTGCTTGCATGAAGCTGCTAGAAATTATTCAGTCAATGTAAATACAGTTATGATGTTATATATATTTATATATTGTATTTGTATGAAAATTGGTGTTAAGTTTTTTCTATGCACTTTTTGTTTATTTAATAATACATGTATTTAGCTTATATATTTTGTTAACACATTACACAGTTTTATAGGGCCAAAGCATTGTAAAAAAAAAAAAATAGTGTGTTAAATCCAAGTCTGAAAATTTAAGATATATTTGGTGTTTTTCGCAATGTTATGCAAATTAGCAAATAGCTGTGTACTTTTTTCTTTTATTTTACTCAAAGTAGAGATGATTTAGTATTTGATGACTTATTTTGTGTGTGTTTATTATTTTTTTTTTTGCCTTTTCTCAACTCGATATTTTTCTTTAAACAAAATTTGTTGTTAATTTTTTTCTGAATAATTTTTTGTATTCTGAAATTACATTTGTTTGACCTTTGTTTTCAATTATTAACATGATGCCAAGAGATGTATATTCAAAGAAATGATTTGATGTTGAAGAAATTCCCTCTACATGTATCTGACGCTTAAAAAGTGGAAACTCATTTTATTCAGGAGTGTAGAATTCTGTATGTAGGATAGGTTGAAGAAATAGATTGAATTTAATTTTTTTCTCATTGCATATCATAAACATTCCATCATTGGCAGGTTATTTATTGTGTGACGAAGTAGAGTAGTGTCTTGTCTCTTTAAAAACTAGTATCATTGGAGATTAGAGAAAAAAGGAAGGAAATCTGAAGAACTCCGAGAGAAAAAAATTAGAATGATAGAGAAAAATAATCGAGGAGCCTGAAAATCTGTGTCTGTCTCTTCCCTGATACCTCTCATACATGTAGTTGTGAGATTTTTAGCTGATTTTACAGTTAATATAAGTATATGCCATCCGTATTGTAAGCTTATTATGGGATATTTCTAGACATATATCAGAATTATATTAATATTAATTCATGTTGCTTTATTAAATGGATATGGCTATTAAATTCCTTCAGTAGATTAATTTTTGTTGTTTATTTCATTCAGGGAAAGGTGATTGTCATGAAAATTTAAGACACTGGGAAACGTGATTCTGAAAGAGTCTTCATGTATCTGCAAAACTTTTTATTCTCATTAAATAAATTGGGTATTTTCGTTTGGAAAAAAATAGAATCGCCATAACTTTAGCTTGGAAGGACAAAATACATGGATCTGTTACATATATGAACTTTGCTATAAAAAATGCTGTATAAAAATACAGTGACTAAAATTTTAAAGAATGGAGGTGAACAAGATGAAGACAATCCCCTGCTTTAAGAAAATTCTAAAAGTTCATGAAAAGTTGCATTTTTCAACAATTGTATTATCACTATGATCTTTTACACATTTGCTTCCTTTATTTTATTGAAGTTTTTGATAAAATAATTTATTGTTTTACATATATATGCTTACATTTGTATGTGAAAAGAAGAAAAATTAATGGTTCACTGAACGCATTAACCACTAAGCTACAAAGTCTTCTTGTCATTGACATGTGTCAGTGTGATTTAAATAAACGAGTTTGTTGAAGCGTACATTTTTTCAGAAAATTAATGTTCGATTTTCAAATAGAATGGGTCTAGACTCCATTTTTTTGAAACATTAAATAGATTTTACAATTACTTTTCTGTCATTTAAACGTTAATGTAGAATGGAGACTTGACCCATTCATATTCAAAAATCATATCATGGCTTCTATAAACCCATTTTCCACTAAATATGCTTAACTGGCAACTTTAAAAACAAATTATCAACCATTAAGTCATTCCATAAATAAACGAATTATATGTGTTGAAGATGCCATTACTGAAAACATAATTTTAGAAAAATATAACTTTTCAATGAACTTTGAAAATTGTGAAAAATATTGTCTCAGAGCGGGGGATTTTCCTCACCTTGCACGCCCTCTTTCTTTTATATTGATCATATTCCACTTTAAGGTTCATCGATAATCTGATAAGAGACTTAACTCTTAATGACACAATTGTTTGTTGTTCCTTTACAGACTTGTTAATTTGAAATGTCTTTTTTGTTTAATTTTGTCCCTCAACTTATGATATAATTGTTTGTATTTTACTTAAGAAATACATTTCCTTTGGAAAATCATAAGTGTTATAGAGCATTATTTAATATTATGCGTGAGCAGAGAGTTTATGCACCTTAATACAGAAGACAAGAACCCTTAAAGTATTAATAGTCCAAATATATTTACTGCCATAATGACATATCACATTGCCCTTTAAGATCAGTGTTTGTGATGGCATTAGCTTTACACAGTTGTACTAATAGATGTTTTCTGATAACCGAAGCACGTCCTCGACCTCGGTGGAGAAAATAATTCTCCAACATAACTAGTGTCCTTCCACTCACTATTTTGTTTGGTGTTTTGATCCTTTGGATTTGCTGTTCTTCCGAAACTTGAATTAAAATCTTCCGACATTTCTGAAGCAGGTAGTTCTCGTACACAATTAACATTTACAATCTCGCTCTCTTTTCCGACATATCGGTAGCTGGACTGCACTGTACTTCTATGGTTCTCACGAGAAGGTCTAGATATAGGTCTCATTGTCACACCATCAGTGACGTCATCTGGGGTAACTATTGACAAATAAATAAAAAAAAAATAAAAAAAAATAATAATAATAAAAAAGTTATCTTTCAACATTTTCCCTTAAAAATACAATTTGCTTTGACAAAATGTCAGAAAATTTATAGGCAATGCGGGAATACAAACAGTGAATGTCTGTTGTGGTACGAACATGGGACTGCTCAGACATTTTTCGCCTTTTAAAGCAAAGGTAATGATGGCATAAACAACCAATCAGCAACAGCGTTCCACTGACACCCAATCCTATACCAATCTTGTCCAGGATAAATTCCGCTTCCCTAAAACAAAGGTGAACGTATGTTCTGACGACGATACATCTTAGAAAACAAAATATAATTTTGATGTTTCCATTTAACTTTGAAACGTAATTTTGATTTTTCTTTAAATGGTGTGTGTAATCATTATTGTTCTTTGGCACAGGACAATGTTCGTTTATTAGGGCCCGCAGGGATTTGCGGGTGCCCTATAGTAATCACTCTGTCTGTCTGTCTGTCTGTCCGTCTGTCATTCTTCCGTCCACAAATTTTCTGTTTTTTCTCTCTATACAATAACCTTTTTAAGGGTTGACCAATTAAGTTCAAATTTGGTATATTGGTTGAATAGGCAGTAAGACATATTTTGATGCTAAGTTTGATTCTCTATGTCATCCGGTTTGGAGCTGGGGTGGTGGGGTAGATTCCTTAACTTTATATAAGAGTGAATGGGTAAAGAGAGATAACTGCTGAGAATTAATGTTCCTATTGTAACTATGAAAGGCTGCAATGAGTCTCTTGGGGTTATTTATCTTTCCTCGTGAAGAAAATCCAAAGCATTTATCTTTATCCAAAGCATTTATCTTTATCTGTCACAATGAGATTAATTGACACCTCTGTCTGCAAATGAAGTTTGTTTTGAAGTCAAGGTCAATTCTGAATGATGTTTACATTCTTTGAAATGTGGATTTAAATAATGTTCATACTTTATTTTGGTAAACTACACAATGACTTATGATTTTATTGAATTCTAAAAACAAGATACAGATAAAAACATCTTTATTATTATTATTATCTTATTTTTTTCTTTTTTCTTTCTTTTTTCTGCCTTATGTAAATTCAATAATACTATTTATTTTAACATGTATTCAGATAATAACCTCATTCTATCATTGCTGAAAAATTTCTTATTGCAAACGTAGAAGAAAAGGTTGAGAGAGCAGTATAATCAATCCCCTGGGATTAATTATCCTGCTGGTTGCAGAAAATTTTAGAGGGTCCTCTTTCTGTGACTTTAGGATTAATTAACATCTTTGTCTGCAACTTACGTTTGTTTTGAAGTTAAGGTCAAGTCTGGACGATGTTTTCATTCACTGAAGACTGGCATTTTAGAAAACACATCCTTCATTCTTCTTTAAATATACATTTACAGTCCCTGAAACGTTCTACTTTCCCACTTGAACGGTGAGCGAACGCTGAACGAACGGTGAACGAACGCTGAACGAACGCAGAGCGAACGGTGAGTGAACGATGTGTGAACGCTGAACGCAACTTGGTGAACGGTGTGTGAACGCTGAACGGTGAGTGAACGCTGAACGCGAACGGAGCGCAAACGCGAACGCAAAGTGAACGGTGAACGAACGGTGAACGCAAGATGAACGATATATTCGGAATGCCTCTGATCTTTTCCTTGCATTGAAACTATTTTATTGTATTATATTTTCAGGTGCCAAATAAATAAATAAATAAATAAATAAATAAATAATAGATAAGTAAACCAATAAATGAATGAATATTTAAGTCAATAAAATAAATTCTCCAAAATTGTCCTAAGAAAGACGATGCATGCACATAAAGTATTTAATCACACGATTTTTATCGCATTAAAACATTGCAATTGTTATCGAACGCTGAAGTATAAAAGATATTTTTTTAGTTGGAAAATAAAAATGTTTATTCTTATTTGATAACAAACCAGAGAAAACTTCTGACTTATAGAATGAATTAAAGCGGTTGTACACATCCATTCATATATCTCCGTGTCAAGGCGATTTCGTGTAAATTAATGAAAAAAAAAATAATTACAAAGGTCAGTGGACGTTTTGCATTTATACGCTCGTATTTTAAATTTTTAATATAATGATATATTATGTGTCATTTCTATTTTTCATGATGATTTATTAAGCAGACTTCTACATGTATATGTAGATGGCCGTGGTAAGATAATACAAAGATACATATTCATATTATTTGTTATAAATTCAATTTTCAGAACTTGATATTTAAGTAATATGCTGTTATAGTTTTTATTAAACAGAGAGAGAGAGAGAGAGAGAGAGAGAGATATTCCGTTTTAGTCCCCCCCCCCTCCTTTCAGGCTTCACTAAATGTTTGTTCCTATATCAAACAAAAACTCTGATTTTTTTTCTAAATATAACAGACAGTGAAAGTAAATTTTTTTAATCAACAAATCATATCCATTTGTTTGACAGTCATACTCGTTTTTATGTTCCTGCTTCGATTTCACACGAAGTCCACGTGCTTGTCCTGTCAATCAAAATCATTCGACACTGTGCAGGTGTGAAAGTTTCGTCACATCGAAGACGGAGTGCGAGTATTTCCAACAAGTTATAACATTTATTTTTATCATTTCTAGATTTGATTCCAACATTTGAATAATAAATGAATAAAATACATTGGGCATTAACACTTGAATTTGATACATACTCTCTGCCAATTTCAAATACCACCGCCGACACGTGTACATTTTGAACTACAGTAACTATTGTTTTGGGACTTTTTTAGATGCATGTTTGTTTTGAGACTGAAATTTTTGTTCTAAAAAAGACCTTAACTTTCTTTAAAAAATGTTAATTAAAATATTCTGGAAATGCAGTACTGACTAAGTAACCGATTTAGGGGGAAAGGGGGGGGGGGTATTAATCATATCGAATGGCAAACATATAAAGTTACGATGAAGAGAGAATTTTTTTCTCTATAACTATAGACTTTACATATTATAGTAGAGAAAATTCTGTAGTGCAGTACATTTTAAATAAATATTTCCTTTAACCACACTATCAATTTAATTCGCCCCAAAGATAATAAACAGGACATCCCCAATACTATGTATAACTCAGAACTAGTTCTATCATATTTTCTCTAGTAATTAAAAAAACGTGTTAGAAATAAATATTTTCGTAATTTTGCTGCGTAATTATTTGACTTGGATAATTATATCACCATTAACGATTTGGCGTCTTTAACAAAACAACAAAATGTTGCAGTGCTTGAAGTATTTGCACATTGCCCTTAGTTAAATTTAATATTTCAGCATCGTTCTACATAGGTACAGAATGTGCTTATAACAACATTTATTTTCCAGTAATTTAATAAATAACGTAACAGCTAAGTTAGAATAATAAAAATACATATCGTAGATATTTTCCCCCATGAAATAATGATTCTTCAAACACGACATGTTAGTTATTAAATTAAAAAACCTGTTACTCCTTCCCTACAAAAAGATAAGTCCTTTCACTTCGGAGTTCCGAATGACAATGAAAACTAAACGATAGGTGAACGCTGAACGCAAAGTGAACGGAACGAAGAGCGAACGCTGAACGCTTTGTGAACGGTGAACGCGAGCGCACGGTGAACGGTGAACGCAAAACTGTGAACGGAGAGCGAACGGTGAACGCACGGTGAACGAACGGTGAACGCACGCTGAGCGAACGGTGAACGAACGGTGAGCGAACGGAAAAATGGGAAAGTAGAACGTTTCAGGGACTGTAATTGAGTTACAATAATTATAGATATGATGTTTTTATTGCCGTATGTAAATACAAGGATACTATTTACAGGTTGTTGGATATGTTGGATTTATCTTGAAATTTTATAAATACAGTTGCTGTTGCTTATTCTTCTTATATATTTTTAAATTTTTGCAATCAAGTAAAATTCTCATCCACTTATCTGCACGCTTATATTTGCTGACTGGTCAGATTTCTAGTTTTGTTGGTTATATATGTACAAGTCCACAGATTGACATCCAAATGACCATGCGTTACTTTGTCAACGTATCAGTTCACCGAAGCGTTTGTTTATAAGACCTGTAAGAGTTACCAACGAAAGTTAAGTCCCCATATGATTAGGAACAGTTTGGTTGCTGTTGGAACATTGACCTCGATCCTCGAATTAAAATGACTTTATCATATTCTACAATTATACAAGTGGGGTTTTTTTTTCGTATAGATTATTGAAAGATTGATTGATTGACTTGGCGTTAAACAAAAAATCAACCAATCAATCTTTCAATAATTTATAAGAAAAAAAAAAAACATTAAGGTCAAGATCTAATATATGAAAGGAGCCTTCAGGGCATAATTTGTAGGTAAACAAGATGAAAACCAATATTTTAAACTGTCATTTTCAATGAAAAAATTAAGAAAACCAGTTATGAATATGGGAGTTTTTCCCATATCTGACCAAAAAAAAAAAAAGATGTATCCAGATTGCCTATAGTCTCCCAGGAAACAGTGATTAGTATATTAAATTGAATAAAGGTACCCGGATTACTTTTCACATGATTTCAAGCTGAACTCCATATATAATACGTTATTCTCTACGCAATCTATTAGAGCCGTAAAGTACGGGAAAATGAAAGTTTAAATTGTTTATGACGTCATAATGGATCTAGCACAATAAGACAATCTAAGGTCATTTACTAGATCTTGACCTTAAGGAGGTTCGATCCTGAGCTCTTGAACAGATTTTGGTCTGGACCTTTATTTCTAAAATTCTGCATCATTTTTAAGTTCTAACATTAAATCTGGATTCTTCATTGCAAATTAAACTATATCCAATGAAAAAACCGCGATTAAATTCCATTCAAATAGGATTAAGTCAGGAACTATATTTTGTGGCGGAAGTTTTTTTTAGAAGAAAATGATCATTTTTTTTCCTTTTGAAATATATACAGTACTTTTAAGTTTAGATTCCCATTTTTCCATGCTGGTTGCAAACAGAGCTGTTTTTTTGCAGTGGAATGTTTTATGCTGGTTCTGAAATATCTATCAAATTATTTCTTTTGAATTCGTCGAAGATGTGATTTTTGATTAAGACACAAATTTCAGTGCAAAAAGGTCATATTAAATGTACTGTAGAGCCAAAAGAAGCATATTGACCCCATTTTTTGTTTTGATTTTAACCATGTGTGTAGAAGCTAAAAATATACTTGAAAAAAAGTTTTATAGACTTTAGATATCAGGGTCCAACTTCGTTAAGAGATTTATCAGTTGATAATGTGGTTAATTTACTTACAACATTTTTTTTTACCATTTTCCTTCGGACCACCTGCTTGTAAAACGTAGATAAACGTGAGTACCTACATGAAAAATACGTATATTTGCAGATTAATTTTTTATTGTATCTTAGAAATGCATCTTTTGAACAAAGATCAATTTTTATTTCTTGACTACACACATTATCAATTAGAAGTATTGCAAAACAGACGAAACTCACCAAGTTAATCAAATGTTAATACCCGAAACGGATTTCCTTACTTTTAAAAATCATTAAATATAGAAAGTTCGATTTAATGCATAAAACCAAAAAAGAAGAAGAAGAAGAAGAAGAAAATTCAAACGATAGTAGACAAAACTTTTATCATTTTAATGATCCTCGATGTATCTCTCTGTAATTCTCCTTGTATCAAAAAACGATAATGCATGTCACAATTAACACTGATTAAAACAACTGAAAAAATTAAAATGCCATTTAACAGCATCATTTGCACACTTACCTAGAACGACGCAAACGACAAGACTAAATATTTCAAGATATCTCATCATTAAAAAATATGCTATATATATATCTGTCAACTTTCTGTATTCACTTTGTTTAATTTTATAAATGGCGTTTTCTTATCTCGTCCTTTAAATTTACGACACAACATTTGTGTCCTAATTTAGTAATATTGAATACTTTATTTGTGAGTGTATACTCAGACTAAAGAACAGTATAGTGTTGGTACTTTTGATTCATTGTAAGTTTCTATTAATGATTTTCTAATCCGCATATTTATCCTTCATTTTGTCACGCAAATAATTACTCAGAAACCATTTCCTTGCAAATAAGGAAATATGATATGTTCTATCATCTGAATATACATTGAATAAATCTTCCAGCAACCAGAACAAATCCTATTGTATTCATAAATACGGTAATACATACTAAATAAATTGTATTAATTAATATATAGTAATGGTTATACTAGGATTTGCTCTTATTTCTTTTTTATTATTGTGTGTTCACACCTTATGTATGGACCTAATATCTAAATAAATACATCAAAAAATTATTAATGAAAGCACAATCAAGGAAAAAA